CAGCAGGCTGCAGAGTGGCCTTAAATTTCACCACTCTTTAAGGTGACTTTCAAGCAGTGTCAAACATGCAGAGATCTGTATAAAAACCCACAAATCGATGAAGGCTTTGATAGCTGAGACGCTGTGTGGATGGAGAGACAGCGCAGGGTGCCACGCCAAAGGAAAAGAAAAAGCCCTGCCATTAACAGTGAGTGACACCTTTCTGTATTAAAGAGCAAAACGTTTATTTTCCTTGGCCAGCACGAGGTAAGGGCTACACCGTGAGGCTTCTGATCTCTGCTTGAGAGGTGCTCGTTGCTCACAGTACCTAAGGCCTGAGCTGCAGAGCTGTGGCTGAGCTCCCTGCAGCCAGCTCAGCAGTGCCATTTCTCACTTGTCCCCACCTTTCAGAATGAGCTTCCCTACAGAGCAGCAGTGTTGGCAACAGCTGGCTCTGGGTTTGTCCTGTTTTTTGCTTTTCTCTCCCCCTCTTGCTTTTTAGGTCTCAGTAAGGAAAACTGTTTTACCCAGGAGATACCAATCTAATTTTTAGATGGAATAAACTCCTACACACTCCTGCCCAGAAAGCCAATATATTCTAATGTGTAAGCAGAAATCAGGCTTCCCCTGACAGCTCCCCAAGGATCATCAGCTTTCAGATTTCTCAGGGGTGAGCAGGCTCTCAAAGACCCTGGGAGAGGCCCAGGGTGTGGAGCAGCAGGGATGGTGCCCCAGGTGGGAGGTGATCACAGGATGCACCTTCTGCCATAGCACACCCACTGCCCTAATCCCTGCACCAAAAAATATTGGTTCCAACAGCTGAGCCCAGGCTGATCAGGGCAATGTTTTCCCTCTGATTCAGGCCCCTGTGTGGGATGGAAATGTTTGAACATTTCCTGCAAAGTGAGTCATTTGCATGGGGGGATTTACGGTTGCGGTTAAGAACAATTGTTATTCTGAGCAGTTTGTCTTTTTCTGCCCCCTCCCTTCCCCACGCCCACCCAGCTGTCTGTACATCCAGTGCTATATCTTGCTATACTTTTCTTTAGTGTTCCAGAGAAAACCAGAGTGGGTTTTCTCCAGGCCTATATTTTACAGTACCTGCTGGCATCGCTGGTGACCATGACTCGAATGGCAAGAAGGTTGTGCTCAGTCATCTCCTCCTCGGGGATGACCTTCACAGTGGCCCACTCAGGGGAAGGAGGTGAGAACCAGCTCTGCAAGTCACAGCTCTCCCGGGTGCTCTTTGCCTTCTTGGGGGAGGTGGGCTCATCAGCCACGGGCAGACAGCAGCCTGGGAAAGCACAAAGGTGACAGCAGCGTGTTAGGGGAGGAGAATCCATGGGAGGACCTCACTCTGCACTGGAGAGGTCCTTGGCCATCACCAGTGGTTTCTGTGTGGGGCCCCATGCTACCCCAGAGGCACAGGCAAGATGTGTGCTCTGACAGCCTGGCATAGCCCAAAGATCTCTTCAACCTGGCACAGCCCTGTTGGGGCTCCTCAGCTTGGGTAAAGGGAGAAGGAAACTTCAGGGGTAGGCTCAGCTTCTGCAGCTGTGGGTGCTTGTCCCTCTTGGTGGGATGGCCATCAGGCTGGGTGCCTGGTGGCAGCAGTAAGACCTGTTTCAACCACACAAATAGGGATTAATGAGCCCTTTTCTGTCCCCCTGTGTACCTCTGTGTGTGGCAAGAGGCAGATGAACCAACTTTGCTTGGGTGGCTAAACCTTCAGCCTTATACTGCAAGTTTAGGTCAATTTAGGCCAGTGGGAGTGACCAAAATAAACTGACTCTTCACATTATTTATGATTGCATACAACAAACACAGACATTGACATGTGAAAAGGAGCAGCACCTGAGCAGTGTTGTGAGCCAATTTGTAAAACCCAAGTTCTTCAGCTCAACTTTCTCCTTAAAAGATGGTGCATTTTACATGAAAATCAGAGCAAGCAAAGCCAAACAACAGTTTGCCAGCTCTGTCTATAAACTTTGTACCCATGCTGGCAATAAGCACTGGCTGAAGACACTGCAAGCTGTTAAAGAAGGTCAGGTTTGCCATTTGCTTGCACACTCAGTACGTGTTCCCTTCCCACAGCACACATTAATGCTTTCCCTGCCACGCTGACAGGAAAGAGGAGAAAACATGTTTATGACTAACAGACACACAGCTGGAGAGCATTGAAACCCACAGACAGACTACCTACAACGATTCCCAGCATGGCTCCTGGACATGAACAGATTCCCAGCCAACAAGTCCCTCTGCAATACCTCGGTGCTCATCCAGTTTCCAGTCACTAGGGATGTGTAATAGTCAGGGCTCGTGAAGGACCTCAGGATGTCACCCAGGACACCATATGACAGTGATGGATGGCACTGCCACCTCTCTGAAAAGCTAAATATCTGTGCTTGCTTTTTTCTATTGTTTTCTTTTTTTTTCCTTTCTTTTTGTCATCGTGATCTCTCCCCTTCTTGACCCCTGCACCTGGAAGCTGACCCTCTCAGCAGTCTGTTAGACAGCTGAGTGCTTTCTGAGCAAGAGAAATTTGTATTCACAGTGATACTAACCAGGTTTAAGATCAGCATCCTGCACTAGTATCTCTGTCCATGGCAGAGGGATTGGACTAGTTCTCTATAGGTCCCTTCCAACCCAAAGCACTTGAGGATTAGAAAGCAAACCCACTCCTTACTAACATATTTTGTCAATACTTGTGGACAGAAGAGTTTCTATTAGAAGCTAAGAGACTTGAACTACATAAATGCAAAAGCTCAAGAGGCATCCCATTTGTGGGACAGAACAGGGCAGAGTTTGTTTCCTGCCGCCGACCTCTGCGTGGCAGCGCCAGGCGCTGTCAGAGGAAACCCCAGTCCTCAGGAAACAGTCACTCAAAATAGCATTTGCGTAAGATTTTACTGCATTTCCACTGTGCTCACTTCAGATTTCCTATTCTCTGTGCCTCAGTGTGCTAAAGACCTCCACGAGGCAATGTGCCTGCTCTGTTGCACAGTCTGGACTGGAGTTCCTACCAATGCTTTGCCAAAGCATTCAAACAATTCACCTGGGAAAAGAGAGGGATAATAGGGAGCACGGCCAAGGCCCATGGGAAGGTGTTTATGGTCTCCACTTACAGAGCTGCAGTTTGCTGTCTGAAGGGCTGGTGTTTACTTCCTTCTTACTCCACTGTCATAAGGATGATCCTTCTCATCCATAACAGTGCCCCAGTACTTTGGCCACACCATTGCCTGTTTCATTAACTTGGTTATTGTGCTCTCTCCTCCCAGGCACACTGCACCTTGTCAGGCTGATCCTCCACCTCCTGGTTGCCTTTCCCCAGCAGCCCATCTCAGAGTGATGCCCCTTCTGCCACCCACCAGCCAGCAGAGTCCTGGGTGCTCCCTCCCCTCCTCTGCCAGCTCCAGGCTGGCTCTGCTGCTCAGCTGGGCAGTTTCTGGGGCAGGTGGACCTGAGACAAGGGCTGGCAGGGACTCTGCAGCTCCACAAAACCAGCCTCATGCCTCCCCTTCCCAAAGCAGAGGGCAGAAATCCCAGGTCAGGGGCGAGAGCGGCGCCAGGCCGTGCTGACCGGGCACTGCCCTCAGCAGGGCACAGCGTGGGCAGGAGGAGGTGGCTGCTCTCACCCTCAGCACCCTGAGCACTGCACACACTGCCAAAGGGCACCCTGCTCTGTGCAGAACATTCCACCCACCCAGCAGAGCCTGGAGAGAGCTTATCACTTTAGTACAGCACCTGCAGCAGCATTTCCACACACACTCTGCCTCCTGTGTGCTCCACACAAGTGTCTCTCCTGGTCAGAGCTCTTCTGCTTAGAGCCCTCGACTGATGTGCACTGAGAACAAACAACATGGCCTGAGTTTGTTTTGGTTTGGGTTGTATTAATGCAAGTGGTGGAGCTGTTCTGCCTTCAGCTACTTAGACAGCAGCAGTACAGCCAGTGATTTCAGCAGAACAATCACGTATTCATCCAGCCCTCCCACTCGAACACAGCGAAAAATGGGGATAAAAACAACTTCTCCTTTGTCTGTGTTTCAAAACTCACCTCCATCCTTCTCACGTGGGCAGAGGAACAACTGCTTTCCTTACAGGGCAAGGATTTAGCTAAACTGTGTGGTAACTGAGAATTATTGCTACAGGACTTGTATCTGGGTCAGCTCTCACCCGGAGGGTCAGGGCTGTTCAGAACTCACTTCAGCCTATGGGTTTGGGCTAACAGCCCCTGCAGACCCCAACAACAGACACAAACCCTTTTCCAGTAAAACAGGGGTTTAAAACTGGCAATTTATAGCCATGGAAATGCAGGGCAGGTCTCCTCCAGAGCTCCCAGAGCCCTGTGCTGCCGTGGCTCAGGCCAAGCAGGAGCAGCACAGGCACAGGGACCCCTCAGCACATCACAAACCATCCCCACCTCACAGGCTGTCACTGCTGGCCCCTGAAGGGAGGGAGGGAGGGTTTGCTGGAGCTGCACAGACCCAAATCCAGGACTGATGCTGTCTCATGGCCTTGGCACCACCAGCTGGGCTGGGCCATGCCAGTGCTACTTGACTGCTCTGCCAAAAACCTCCAGTGCAGGTTTCTGAACACTCCAAACTCAGACCTGTTTACTGTCCCTCCGTGACTAACAAGCTGCTAAATGCTGGCCAGCAGCAGGCAAGCTCCCCCTGCTAATGCAAACCAGATAAATGCATCATCACATCCCTCCTCCTGGTCCCAGGGGCTTTGCCAGCACACTGGCAGGGTTTAATGAGGTGCTGAGTTACATGCTGGTGTCTCACACACCCCATGCCAATTCAGCACTGCACAGAGCAGCACTGACACCTGTGTCTGTGTTATGCCATGCTTGGAGGTGCAATTACAATGGGCTCTGCTTAGCTGATGAAAACACCATGATCCCATGGGAGTCCCTTCAGAAACCTGCTCAGAACAGTGTGCCACCACACACGTGGCAGAGGAGAGGCCCTTTCCAAAGGGGCTTAGTGTCTACCCACCCAGGGCTTCACCCACAGCTTTCCACACTTCTATGATTACCATTTGTAAGGTGTTGATTGCTCCAGCAGTGCCCTCACCAGTAGTCCCAGGGCCAACACACAGACATGAGCAGGAGAGTTCATGCTGGTGAGTTTGGCTTGGCAAGGCAGCCCAGCTCTGTATGGGCTGATCCTGAGGCATCTGCCAGACCAGCATCAGGCAAAATCACAACTGTGACCTGGCAAGGAGATGACAAGGGCTTGGGAACCAGCCAGATTTGGGCAGACCCAAGATCCCACCAGGGCAGCTGGACCAGGCCAGGCATTTCCACCCCACCTTGAGCAGAGCACGCGCTGCCCACAGCGGCACAAAGCCTGAACTCTGCCAAAGCTGCTCCCCTCCCCACTGGGAGCACTGGGCCGAGTGGCTCCGCCACACCAGCTGGCTCAGGGCAGCTGTGTTTGATCAGCTTTGCTGGGGAATAGCTGCTCTCTCCGTGCCTCTGTCCAGCATGGACAAAAATGGTCAAAGATATTCTGCTGCAGAATTCCCAACCAGGCCAGCTGCAGCCACCTCCCCATCGAGTAAATACTGCCAGGCCAGAAGCAGCCAGAGTGTTCATGTTTCTCCTCCCTCCTCCTCTTTAGCTGCTTTTAAGTCATGTGAGGGGAATTAATTTTTAAGCAAGGTACAGCAAGAGCTCCCATGGGATTTGTTGGCTAAAGTGAGTCAGACCAAACAGGAGCTCTGCACAGGAAGAAAGGGGGAGCAAACCTTGCCAAGTTAATCAAAGTAGGAAAACTAATACAAACCCAGAGAACACCCCTGAAGACAGATTAAAACCAGAAACAGAGCCAGGAAACAACATATTTAAAAAATTTATCTATCTTTCTGCTTTGGGCTACAACACACTCAGGGTACTGGTGGTCAGGAACAAAGTATTTGCAGAGTGTCTGGTCCAGAACACAGCCCCAAGTGCATCCTGATCTGCCCAGCTTGGGGTGCCCCCACAACAAACACCAGGTCTGGCCCATCAGGTGGAGACCTCTCAGCTGAACCCTCAGAGCAGGCAAGAAATGGTTCATACCTGCTGCTGGCACTGAGAGGGGACCCTGCCACGACTGCCCTGCCCCAAGGGCAGGAGCTCTGCACCCATGGCAAAGCAGACAAGAAATGATTGATTTCTTGTGGGCCTTGTTTTGGTGGTGGGGAGAAAGAACAAAACCTGCTGGAATTAGGTGTCCCAACCTGCAGTCAGGATGTGTTGTTTGGCACCTCTGGCACACTCTGTTCTTGTGAAGCAGGAACAATACT